GTTATTGGTATATAGACTATTCAGTTGTCAATACTCTTTTAGATAAAATTAAGGTCTGCTGTTCATTTTCCAAGTTCTATGCTGGGTTACTATTTTGGAATCCCTTTCGTCACCCTGGCCAACAACTCAGAAGAAGGTATCTTCTATCTGGCATTGTTGCTGTTTTAGGTTAATTTTGTAGCCTGCCATTTACTGAAGTTGTTAATAATTTCTAGCAGTTTTCTGGTGGAATTTTTGGTGTCTCTTAGATATAATATCATATCATCTGCAAAAAGGGATAATTTGATCTCTTCCAATTATTACTCCTTAAATTTCCTGCTCCTGTCTTATTGCTCTTGCAAGTGTTTCAAGCACTAGGTTAAAACAGAAGTGGAGATAGTGGACAGCCTTGTCTGGTTCCTGATTTCAATGGGAATGCTTCCAGTTTTTCTCCATTTAGAATGATGTTGGCTGTGCGTTTCTTATATATGGCTTTAATTATGTTGAGGTATGTTCCCTCCACACCAATTCTCTCTAGGACTTTGAACATAAATGCATGTTGAATTCTGTCAAAGGCCTTCTATGCATCTATTGAGATTACCATGTGGTTCTTGTTTTTGAGCCCATTTATATGATTTATGATGTTTTTTGACTTACATATATTGAGCCATCCCTGCATCTCTGGGATAAAGCCGACTTGATCGTGGTGGATGATCTTTTTGATGTGTGTCTGTAATGCGGCTTACAAGTATTTGGTTGAGAATTTTTGCATCTATGCTCATTAAGGATATGGGTCCACAGTTTTATTTCTTGATTGTATCTTTACCTGGCTTTGGTATTGGAGTGATGCTGGCTTCATATAAGTAATTTGGAAGTTCTCTCTCCATTTCTATCTTCTTGAATAAATTAAGTAGTATTGGATGGAGATCTTCTTTAAAGGTCTGATAGAATTCTGCTGTAAATCCATCTGGTCCTGGGCTTTTTTTAGTCAGGAGGTTTTGTGTTACTGTTTCAGTTTCTGTGTTATGGGTCTGTTTAACCTGTTAATCTCTTCTTGGTTTCATTTTGGTGGTTCCCATGCCTTTAGATATCCATCCATTTCTTTTAGGTTTCCAAATTTAGTAGCATATATGTTTTTAAAATATTTCCATATAATGTTCTGTATTTTTCTGGTGTGTGTTGTGATGTTTCCCCTTTCATCTCTGATTTTGTTGATTTGAAGGTGCTCTTTCTTTCTTTAGGTTAAATGGGCTAGCGATCTGTCAATCTTGTTTATCTTTTGGATTCACTGAATTTTTGTATGGATTGAATTTCACCCTAATTTCTGCCCTGATTTTTGTTATTTCTTCTTGTCTGCAGGGTTTGGGTGTTGTTTGCTGTTGCTTTTCAAGTGTGTAGAGTTGCAACGTTTAGTCATTTATTTGTGTTCTTTCCGATTTCTTGATGTAGGCACTTAGAGCTATATACTTCCCTCTAAGGACTGCTTTCAGCATGTCCCAGGGGTTTTACTGTGTTGCATTGTCCTTCTCATTTAGTTCCAGGAATACTTTTATTTCTTTCTTATTTTTTCTTTTGACCCATTCATCATTCAGGAGTGTGTTGTTTTATCTCCATGTGTTCATGTGGTGATTAGGGCTTCTTCCTGTGTTGATTGTAAGCTTTATTCCATTGTGGTGTGATAGAATGCATGGAATTATTTCAATCTTTTTGTATTTGTTGAGGTTTGTTTTGTGCCCCAGTATATGGTGAATTTTGGAGAAGGTTCCAGGGTGCTGAGTAGAAACAGGGTGGAATATTTGGTAGATGTCTGTTAGGCCCATTTGATATATGGTATTGTTTAATTCAGATGTCTCTCTGTTAACTCTCTGCTCTGTTGACCTATCTAATAGAGATGGTGGGGTATTTAAGTCTCCTTCTATTAATGAGCTGGGATTAATCTGGGTCTTAAAGTCCTGTTATATTGTTTTTATGAAGTTGGGTGCACCAGAGTTTGGTGAATATAGGTTCATGACTGTAATATCTTCTTGATTGATTGTTCCTTTGATCAGAATGAAATAGCCCTCTTTGTCTCTTCTGGTTAGTTTCAGTTTAAAGTCTATTTTGTCAGATATTAGGATTGCTACGCCTGCTTTTTTCTTGGTGCCATTTGCTTGGTATATTTTGTTCCATCCTTTCACTTTGAGATAGTGTCTGTCCTTGAAAGTGAGATGAGTTTCTTGCAGACAACAAAAAGATGGGTTTTGTTTCTTAATCCATTCATATAGTCTGCGTCTTTTGACTGGGGAGTTCAGTCAATTAATGTTTAAAGTTATTAATGAAACATGAGTATTGAATCCTGTCATTTTTTTGTTTATATTCTTGCTATAGCTGTACTTTTACACTGTTATACCCTCCTTGGAATTCTTTCTGCAATCCCTTGTGTATAGTCATTCCTTTCTTCAGCTCTTTGTATTGCTCACAGAACTCTCTGAAGGGCTGGTTTTGTGGACAAGAATTCCT